TATAAGACATCCTGTCTTAAAAGAAAAAAAAAAAAAGGGAAGAAGTCTGGCTGGGGGTGGTGGCGCACGCCTTTAATCCCAGCACTTGGGAAGCAGAGGCAGGCAGATCTCTGTGAGTTCAAGGCCAGCCTGGTCTATATAGTGAGTTCCAGGACAGCTGGGGATACAGGGAGACCCTGTCTCAAAAAGACCCCCCCCCCAAAAAAAAAGAAGTCAGTAAGCTGAGTAGGGTGGTTCATGCCTGTAATCCATCCCAACACTTGGGAGGCTAAGGCAGAAGGAGTGCTGTGAGTTTGAGGCCACCCTGGGCTACACAGTGAGTTCCAGGCCAGCCTGGGATACAGAATGAGACTGTTTTAAAAGACAAAGCAAAACAAAAAGTCAATGGAGTAAGACCTCTTATGTGCTCTCTCAAAAGTTATAGGAAAATATACTCTGTGTCTTTGTCACCCAAAAAAACAATCTCTATCTTGTTTCTAACAACAGAAGTTTCTGGTTCCAAATCACATCATTATTTCATGTTTTCCTCTCATAGCAAATATCATATCTTGACAGTCATAATGGGCACCTATTCAGAAATTAATTAATGGTCATCTAAAATGTTCCCTAGCTACAATCGGGTGCGTAGCTTACAGCAATCAGCCCTTGAATATCATCCTCCTCTGAAGTTTCCTGGTCTCCTGCATGATTACCATTATTACCACAATCTCGCTTTGAAAATTAGCAAATCCTTACCTGTTCAGCCTTTAAAAATAGTCCTCACTGTATGACATCTCTTAGGCTGGTCCCATCACACTCTCTTAACTACAAATGTTTTCATTTGTCCACAGTGCTCACGATAGGCATCATCTCTCACGTCAGTCTCTCCTGTGTTTTAATCACCCATCCAACAGTTATTTATGGAGTAACCACTGTGCCTGAATGCTTAAGCTTTTGCATTCAAGTAGTCCAGCCTTTTCTCCCCTGAGCCGACCATTTCTTCAAATATTCTCCGTTTGAAGTCTTCGCCTGCCTTCTCTTACACAACAGTTCCTTCCGCCACTCCCCCAGCATACAGCCTCCTCTTCAGACATTGTCTCTCTACCGGACAGCTGCTCCACATCTCACACACAGGTCAGCTGGGAGTACCTTAAGATCCCCAAGACCATCTCTGCTCATTCCCAGTTGGGGCTGAATTTTGGTGTTTCCGGTCATCAGAGCTTACTGGTGTCTCTCCAGGGCTCTTGGGATGCTGGGGGCCTTTCTGCCCTCATCTCCTTTCTCCATCACTTTCACATGACTGCTCCTACAACTCTCCAGGTATGTTATGTTGATATGGTCACCAGCAGCCTCTGAAACTCCGCTAGTCTTAAGTGAGCTATGCTTGGCATGTAGAATACACACTGAACTTCAAAGACAGCGTGAAAAAAGGACGTAAAATATCTCATTCTAATGCTTATGTGGATTAATGCTGAAATGATAATATTTTGGGTATATTTGGTTAAGTGGCATTATCATTAATCTCGCTGACTTCTTTTATCTTTTTTTTTTTTTTTTTTTTTTTTTTTTTTTTTACCGTTTCTTTTTTTTTTTTTTTTTTTTTTTTTTTTTTTTTTTTGGTCTTCTTTGAGACAGGGTCTCTCTGCAGCCCCAGCTGGCCTGGAACTCACTATGTAGACCAGGCTGGCCTTGAACTCACAGAGATCCGTCTGCCTCTGCCTCTCAAGTGCTGGGATTAAAGGCATGCGCCACCACGCCCGGCCTCTTTTATCTTTTTAATGTGGGTAATGAAATCTTTTAAGTTACATGTCAGTATATGGTTTGTATTATATTTCTAGCAACCAGCTCTCATTAACTTTGTTTTTCTGTTGATTCATATGTGTGTATACATGTATGGTATGTGTGGTATATGTATGTATAATGTGTGTTTGTGTGGTATGTTTGGTGTATTTATGTGTGATATGTATGTGTGATATGTGTGGTATGTGTGGTGTGTGTGTTGTGTGTGTGGTGTATGCATGTGGTGTGTGTGGTGCATGTGTGTGTATGCTGTGTGTTTTTGTGCTTTGTGTGTGGTGTGGGGGTGTGTTTATGTATGCTCTGTGTGTGCGCATTGCTTCAGTTAGAACCCAAGGCCTCACCATGTTCCGCAGCCATTCCACCACCAAGCTCACACCCACCCTGTTGATTCACCCTTCAGTCCTTCTCCATCCACGTTCTCCCTCGCCTCTTCACTGCCCCTGCAGGGCTGTCCCCAGTGTGCCCCACTGCTCTTCACACTCCAACCCCAGAGTTCTTTTCAATCTACCACACGATCAAACTATAAAGACATTCTGGGCTTTTTTCTTCATCAATTCTCAGAGAGACTGCTATCATTCTTAACTCCTAGCAAGTTGAAAAAAAAGTTCCTGTAATCCCCAACAAATATAACTTCATTATTCAAACAGGCCTATCTTCACTATAAGTTTCCTCTATCTTTCTTTTTCCTTAAACAGGACTTCAGGTAGCCTAGGCTGTCCTCAGACTCCTCAATATGTCCCTGAGGATGACTTTGAACTCCTGATCCTCCTGCTTCCACTTCCCAAGTGCTGGAATTACGGGTATGTACCACCACGCTCCATTCTTCTATAGGGTCACTTAAAGGGGCCAGTAGTTACAAAACATTCAACAAGTGTAAATGAGCAATAACTTCAGTCCAGTGTCAGGCACTCCCACCAGGAAAGCAACGCTCCCTCGGTCACTGTGGAGACTGAAACCTTCCCAGCTGTGTTCTACCTGGGAGGTTTCGGTCTTCATATTCACAGCAGAGAGCTCTCTTCTTTACCCCAAGTACTCTAAGAGAATCCCTAGGTAGAGTGTCCCTTTTCCCATCACCCTTAGTGGCCATATGCAGCCACTCCCCAAATGGATTTTATGCCTAGCATTTCTATAACTATATTTTCTTTCTATAACCACCTCAGGGAAAACCCACTACTGGGAAGGTAGGTGAGTAATTTTCGAGGGAGGACTGGGAAAGCGGTCCTGAAGGGGATGAGAGGTGTGAGCCCCAGGCCAGGACCTTAGCCTTGTTACCCGCAGCCATTCCTCTGAAGCCTGCCTGCCACACTGCTCTGCAGTACCCACGGAGATCCCATTACAGAGCTTCCCAGGCTGGGGCACAGCACCTGTCCAAACCACCCCTCAGTAAGATCTGCCCCCATTATGTTGCCAACAGAGCCCCTTTCCTGAACACCGAGAGCAACACACAGTCTCTCTCTCCCGTTTTTTTTAGTGAAGTTGTTCACTTTTAATTTAGCCCAGTCCAGAGACCCTCTTCCCACAGACAGCCCTCTCCAAGATCTTTCCAGACTACAACTCTCTCTTTGCCCCTTTTCCTCTATTTTCAGTATTTCTCTTCTGTTCTTTGCCTCTATTCATATTTGGTTTGCTAGCCTTAGGTCTGTGCAGGTAAAGAACCCAGGACCTGGCAGTGTGCGGACAGGGTGTTTGTTCTCCTGTGTTGGGCACGTCCCCACCCACCAGCTCTCTACCTGCGGTCACTGCCACTCTTGGCTTTCTTGGGTGTGCCTGTCTCTGCCTCCAGGTCCCATGGCCTCCTTGGCATGTCTTTGACAGACTGCCCTGCTTTCCTTTCTGCTTTAGAACCATCCTAATCCTTCCTCTGTAGGCTGTTCTTGCTACTTCCACCCACCCTACTCCCCCCATCCCCTGCCATGCCATGCCCTCTTGTCCTGAAGACACTGTCTCCCCTCTCAGGTGTTAGTCCTCTGTTTAGGGTCTTCCTGACTTCAAGTCACAGATCCTCCTGAGCCAACTAGGTTTGAAAAGTAATCAGCAACAGCTGAATTTCTAAAGCCAAAATGCCAGACTAAACAGAAAAGAAGAGAAAAGACAGGCTCCTTGGCATCTGAAAGAGTGATCAGCCCTTTTGGGCAGGTTCAGGAAAGACCTGTCATCAGGAATGGCCTGCCCTGGCCAAGGACTCTGGGATCCTTCTTGGCTCTGCTGTGGTCAGCCGCCAGGCCTTCAGGTATTTCTACCTGCTAAACTAGGTGCAGAGGTGGACCAGAGCGGCGTTAAGTGAAGCTCTCTACAAGGGCATATGGCCCCCTATTTTTTTTAAAATAGGACCACCAAGTTGCATATGTCTTGGGTCTCAGCACACCTGAATCTGCCTTTGCAGCTCTACCCGGCTGGGGACCGGGCAGGAGAGAGGGAGAGAGAGAGAGAGAGAGAGAGAGAGAGAGAGAGAGAGAGAGAGAGAGAGAGAGATCGAGAGAGAGAGATCTAAGGGCATGGATTCTGATGAGGGTTTGTTTGCAAACCCTTCCTGTGTGGAGAAGGCTTCCTTCCAGGAAGAACCCAGAGCTCTTGTATCAGCTGACTTAGAGCCAGATTCTCAACTCTGGGTCCTTAGGCCACACCCAACTCAGCCACCCTTTAGGATCTCTGGTCTTCCTAGTCAGCCCTGAGCCCGCACCCTACCTGCTTCTTCAATGCTTAGGTCTAAACCTGCGAATTTGGGAGTGACCTCTACTAAGGTGAATTCACAGACCCTCGCTTCGCCCTGCATCCGCAGAGCCCATGCGGGCCATCTGAGTTTTGGAGGTCGATACAGACCACGCCCCACCACCACCTCCACTTACTAAACTGACAACTGCCCCAACTGTCATCATGGGGTCCTGCAGGTATCCCACCCCCAGGAGTCCCACCTTTGAAAGGAGAAAGATGAAGGAATTCTGCAAAGGAGACAGGGTCGAGGTTTGAGGACTAGAATTCTGGGAGAAAAGGCACTCTTTTGGGAGCGTGCTGCTGGCGAGGCTCCAGGCGCTCGAGGGACAGAGCAGGCTCGGTCCTGCGGCCTGGAGATGCGATTCTTGGAACTGAACTGGAGACAGTTCGCCTGAACCCGCGTGCGATCAGGGGTCTGTGGCACGCCAGGGCTCCAAGCAGGTTTCGGCCTGGGGACGTCCTGATAGACCCGCCTCCCGCCCAGCAGCCTCCTCGGCCCTGGCACTTACCCGGCAGACTTGGGAAAGTCTCTGCGAAGTGCGGCGGCGGGGGCGGCGGGGGCTCTGCCACTTTCTCCCGGGCCGGCAGCAGCTCGTCCGCTTCCAGCGCGCCCTCCGCGCGACGGCCGCCGGGCTCCGAGTTGTTCCGCGCGGCAGCGGAGGAGGCGGTGGCGGCGGCGAGCTCCGGGGGCCCGTAGAAGGCGTCGGGCGGCTCCGCGAAGCTGGGCAGCGCGGTGGTCAGCGCCACCATCGAGGGCACCGCCTGGCCCAGCCCCGCGCAGAAGGTGTTGGTCAGGCGGCCGGCGAACGAGGCCAGCGGGGCCAGGGGCGGGAGGCCGGCGGGCAGCGGGGCGGGGGCCAGCGCCTGCGGCAGCACGAGCGGCCGGTAGGGCATGAACATCGGGTAGCCGGTGTAGAGCAAGTGGCCGGCGCGCGGCGGCGGCGGCCCG